AGATGTCCTTCCAGGGCAGCCAAGACAGAAGGCCTATGAGGTAGATGACCCCCACCCTATTTTTGCTTTTGTTTTCATCTCTTTTCCCAACTGGAAGTAGATAAAATTCGAAAAGAGGTGGGGGCTTCTTAGAAGTTGCATGGTTGTGAGAGGGAGATTTCTTGTAGGGTCAGGGATATATGGGAGGCCACTAGGGGACCGGAGGTTTCCAGACTGCCTTGGGAAGTGTGGTCAGGTACATGAGTTCTGGTGGAGGAGAGGAAGAGATGGGCACAACTTCATCTTTGGGGTTCTGGAAATCAGAGTCTCTGTTTTGAGAGAGAGGGAGAAAAAAACAAAACAAAACACCCAAAGGACTGGCAAGTCCAGACTCTGGCCCTATCCAGTTCTGACTCTGGGGTTTTATATTTGGAGGCAATTCGGAAGGCCTTCCGCTGATTGGTCATTAATCCGGTGAGTTATTGTCTGCTAAACAGAGGTCACTGGGAGAGAGACATCCAATCTGTCAGGAGAGACCTGCCCAGTCACTCGCAGCAGGCTGGGCCCCTGTTCCTCCCTTGCCTGCTTCTCCCTGCCTTCCCCAGCCACCCACCTCCTCCCCAGGCTGGCCAGGATTCGGTCTTCCCCCTCTTGCTCTCGCCAGTCAGCCCACCTTTGTCCCGACGGGCCGCCCGGGCTGGATCTGCCAGGCCGGGACTGAGTGCCTAGAGGCGGCGGCCCGGGATTCAGATGCGCCCGCCTGTCCCTGACTCGTGACTTGGCCCGCGGCACCGCAATCCGCTCGGTCAGCGCATCCAGGCGGCCTCCGTGGTCCCCGAGAGAGACACTTTGCGAACCCTCGTGGCTGCTCTGTGTTTCCCTGCTTCCCTCCCGCGCCCCTCCACTTCGGGTCGGGGGAGAGCAGAGCTTGCATTTTTCTTCTCCAACCGTGGCAGCCTCTGGCTTCTTTCGATCCCCGCTTCCGGTGAGCCGGGTCTACACCGGCCTCCAGGGCCGCACGGAATCTTCTTCCCGCTTCCTCTTTGTTCCCTCCCGCACCGGCGTCTTAGAGAGGTGGGGGTTGGGAATCCAGATACCAAGAGCCATCTTCATTAGCAATTTAATTTTACAACCGCCAGCTTTGAAATCTTTATTAATATGCAAGAAGAGATGGACATTCCGGTGCATGTGTGAACTCCGCAGCGGCCACGAAGTTGGGCAGTGAAGCTGGAAAAGAGTCTGGGGCCCCGGAGCCCAGACAGGACCAGGAAGAAAAAGCTCTCTAATCGCCTCGCCCCCGCTCCCAGGTCCCAGCTTCTCAGTGAGCCGGTGGGTTGGTTGAGCTGGGGGCCAGATCTTTGGTCACCCCAAGGCTGATATCAGAAATCGATTTTAAAGCAGCCAGCCATTTTGTCCTTATTGAGAGGAGAATTTTCGTTTGCTCTTTGGTAGATTTTTTTTTTTTTTTGGCGGGGGGAGAGGGAAACAGACATGATCCTTCCAAGGCCTGGAAGGTGGGCCGCCAGGCATGGTTCTAAGAAGTTTAACGCGCTCCTTGTCCCCTGGTACTGGGTGCGGATTAGGAGTGGGGGAGGGGAGTGCTCTATCGAGTGGGAGGGGAAAATATGCCCAGAAGGGGGCCATTTTTTTCTAATTTTTACCTTTATCATTAATTTCTGCCTTTGTTAGATTATCCTAAAGTCTCTGTCTTAATCTTTTCTCAATTTTTCTTTTTCAATCTCTCTCTCTCTCTCTCTCTCTCTCACACACACACACACACATACAGAGTAAGGTTGCCCAAATTTCCCTCCTTGGGTCTAGGAAGAAATTGTTCACTCCTCTCTGTGGTCTGCCCCTAAATCACTGATAAACTCCTCTTCCCCCTCTTTTTCCAGACCCCAGTCTTCCCGCACACCCCTGTGATGTCTCCTACTCCAAGTCCCCTGGCCAAGCTCCTCACTGCCCGGCCTTTGTCTCCTGAAGTTTGAAAGGTCCCAGCCTGCAGCAACAGCTCAAAGGAACCGGGTACCCTCCAAGCTGCCTGTTCCCCCATCCACCTCCCACCCTCCCAGCCCCAACCAGGAGTGCTTGCAAAGAAATCTCCAAGAAAGGAAGAAGAAAGAAACCAAACTGGGATCTAATTGCCTTCCAAGCAGTTCAAATGGGCTCTGTTCTCCAGCATTAATAAGAAGCCCCCACTCCTTCTCCTACCGCATTTGGGGGTGTGTGTCCTCTGAAATTTTTCTCCAGGTTAGCTTTCTGGATCCCCAGTCCTTTCACCCCCACCCACCATGCCCCAGCTCCTTGTGTCCCAGAAGAGACTACAATGAGTTGAGGAGGCTCTGGGAGGAGAGGGGTTCACCTCTGTCTTTTGAAAGCTCCGCTCCTCCACCCTCCTTCAGCTCAGCTCCAGGCTAGATCCTCCTGCAGCCCAGTCCCACAGGCCCGCAGCTGGCTGGGTGCCCTCTGGGCTTTCTTTATTTCTTGAGGTAATGCTGTGCAGCCCCATAGCGACCAGGTTCTCCTCTTGCTTCGGTTTTGCAATGACTTTCTGTAAATAGTGGTAGCAACAGCTAGGAGAGCTGGAGGGTCTGAGGTACATTTTTGACTTACTTTTGGGGAGTAAGAGAAAAGACCCAAAGGTGCTCGTTCCCTTAAGCCTCCGGAAGCCTCCCTGGGCTGAGTCCCCAACCCACCAGGCCCAAAGCTACATAGGAACCAACATAGTAAGTCCCTAACCAGGGTCTAGAAGTCTCAGAACAGGCTCGTGCAACCATGTATGCAGGCAGCTGTAATGGTGTTCTTTGAGGGTCCTGGCTTGAGTAGCAACATAGGCTTGGGCTTGGGCATTTTCTTTTCTTGATACTACTTAATCAGCAGAAAAATGGCTCCCACCCTCTGTCCTCACCACCCTCCCCTTCCTTCAGTCACCAGCTCTCTAGGCAGGTGATCATCACAGTGGGAGGTTCTGTGTGTGGTTCCTGTTGTTGGAGAGCAGGGAGGCCATGGGTCCCACCCACCCCCTGTTCAGCAAGGCCCCAAGAAACTGGCTCCTCCAGCCCATGAAAACTGACTTAGCGGGACTGAAAGCAGTAGGGGCCGGAGGAGGCCCGGGGAACACTCGCTAGGAGAGCAGGACCCTTTCTCAGCCCAAGGCAGAGCTTGTGAGTGGGCTGTGAGGGAAGCTTTGCCAGACACAGCCACCCTCTCCTGGAGGGAAGACAATAGCTGGAACCATCTCTCACCTTTGTTCTCCCAGTCCCATCTCTTCTGGTGCATCCAGATGGGAGAAGGCAAAAGCCAAGCATTCTAACCAGGAGGTCACAGGGTAGTGGCTGGCTCTGTCTACTCGAAGTTAAGAGAACAAGTTTTCCAAGCTGCCTTTGTAGAAAAGAGAGACTCTCTGCCTTCTATTTTATCCCCTAAGCCCCGAGTCAGCAGTTAGGCAGAGTTGCAAGCACTCCTGCTTTGGGAGCTGTCCTGGTCCTCTTTTTGTCCCTCCTCCACCGGGACTGGCTCTTCCCCACCCCCGCCCCAAATCTGCAGACACCTACATTCTTGGCTCTTGGCTCCCTCCTACAGGCCTCCTCGCCCTTTCCTGCCCTTCTCAAACACACCCTAAAAAAAGTTTAGCTTTTGTAGTCCTTCTAACTTGTGCCAAGGGTCATAAATCTTGCAGAACTAAGAGAAACAAACAGGTTTGTTCTGAAGAATAATAATAACTACCCTCCTTCTCTTCTGCCAGCGCATTTAAGATGAAGCCATTTTGGTAGTTCTTCTCACCTTCTTAGAAGTACAAATGTCCTTGTCACCTCTTAGCCCCTTCTGCCTAACCGGAGGTGAGAATCTTAACAGAAACTTCTCCGTGAAGTTCTTACAGCCTCTCTATTGCCAGCCGTGTCTGGAGCTGGAGCTAAACAGACTGCTCCTTTTGTCACCCTCTCCTCAACCCCCCTCCTCCTGCAAGACGGTCTGGATTTTTAAAATAATCACTCACCGCTTGTTGTCTGTTCTCAAAAGGGGGGTTGTTTAAAAAAAAAAAAAAAAGAGGTCTGGCTGTCTCCCCTACTGGTTGGAAACTGAGCCTGGAGATTTGCGGGGAGAGAGAAGAAATAGGGAGAGTGTGGGGGAAGAGAAGAAACAGCCTGGGAGACTTGGAGAGGGGGAGCCAGGGCAGGAGGGCGGGAGACCCAGCCACCAGTCCCGGAGGAGTGAAACTACTTAAAAAAAAAAAAAAAAGCCCTAGTGTTGCCACTTCGAATGAACACAGAGGGGCACCCAGCACCCCCACCCCCAGGCGCCTTGGGTGCCTTTGACTAGGCCTCCCCACCTACTTCACAGTTAGCATAATGGTTTACCAGCACGGTGCCGGGGAGCTGTGAACTCCACTGGCTTTGCCTTGCCTTCCTCTTCCTCTCCACCCCCCCCCCGCCCCCGGCCAAAATCTCAATTTAAAAATTTACCTGTTTAAAAAAAAAAAAAAACCCAAAACAAAAATCCCTACTTTCTTTCCTTTCTCACTTTTTTTTTAAGGGGGGGGTTAAAAAATGTCCCCCTCCCCCATCACCACCAACACCTTCCCTCCTTATCAGGCATCTAAGCTTGCTAAAGGGGGAGTGGTGGGGGTGTGTGTGAGCTTGTGTGTGTGTGTGAGTGAGTGTGTGTGTGTGTGTGTGTCTGTGTGGTTTTTTTCCCTGTGCAAAAGCAGAGGCCATTGTTACGGAGAGTAGGGCGTACCAGTCTTGTAGGGCAACCACACTGTGGCGGCTTGGCCGAGCCGGAGCCCGGAGCTGGATTCGCAGCGAGCTGAGCCGCCCGAGCACCTTTCGGTCTTCTATTTTTTTCCCCGCTCCCCCACCCCCTCCCTCCTGCGCACCCCCGCTCCCAAGCCGAGTGAATTGAAGCGGACGCCGCGCGGCTCCTTCGGCCGCTCTGCCCCTCGGGCTCCCCAGCCCGGGTGGCTATTGGGTGGGGGGGCGACGCAGCTTTAAACAGTGGTCTTTTTTTCCTTTGCCTTCAAGGAGGGGAGATTTCTCGCCTGCCGCTCGCGCTGGGGCTCGATGTGAATATATATTATGTCTGCCTGTTCTCCCCTCGTCGGTGGCTAAGGTAAGCTGGACTGAAATAGGCTATCAGTTTGTGAATGGCGGAGAGTATGTCTCAATGATTTATGGCCCATATGACTCCAATCTCGGTTCAAGAAGAGTTCACAAGCTTTAAGCTTCCTTCCACGCAGCGACTCTCCTCTCTCTCTCTCTCTCTCTCTCTCTCCCTCTCTCCCTCTCTCCCTCTCCCTTCTTGCTTCTCTCCTTTTCTCCTCTCTTTTCTTTCAGCAGCCAGATCCAGGGCTGAATTTTCCCCCGGCTGCTAAGAAGAGCCTAACCTTTCTCCCTTTTCCTTTCTTGTTCTTTTATTTTTCTTCCTTCCACTATTTTTTTTTTTTTTTTTTAAGTCCTGGAAGGTGGCCTATCCCCTGTCTCTGGGCTTCCCCAGCTATTGTTACTCTCCCCGGCTCTTTTCAGGGGTGTGCCTGGACAGGTGGGGTTCTTGGGGTGGCTCACCGCCCTTCTCCAACGAGACCCTGGGGGGAAGCCGGGAGCCACCGTCTCCCTCCCTCCCTCTCTCCCGAGAAGCCATATGGAGCCTGGATTTTTCCAACATGGAGGCAAGGGAGATAGACATGTTTGGCTTGGTAGAGCTGCACCCACCCCCTCTTCTCCTGGCTCCCTAGATCTCGGGTCCCCTCAACACCTTAACCTCTTCTCACTGCCCCTCCGGCCGATCCGGGGCCTGCCAAAGTCCCGGAGCGGAGTTGCTAAGGCACCTTTTCATTCGGTTACCTCCGTCGCCCAAACTTGCTGCCCTCAGCCTGGTGTGCTTGGAACCTGCCGCCGCGAGCCATTCAGGCGTTCTGGACGCTTTCTCTTCGCCTCCTTGGGCCAGCCTAGCTAGTCGCCAGCCCCCGCGGCAGCAGCGGCCAAGACTGCCCGGAGGCGGCAGCCAGGGGCTAGCTCTGTCCACAAACCTCCCGGCCCTCTCTTGCCGCCGGTGTCTCCATTCTTTCCTGTTCTGTCTCTGGCTTCTCCGCTTCCCACACTCGCCTGGCCTCTGTCCTGCGATGGTTTGCAGGTTTATTGCAGGGGGAACGACAGGAATTTCGGCCCCAGGCGTCTAGTCAGATTATTGCTTTATCATCATCATCATCATCATCATCATCATCATCATCATCACCACGGCTGTAACAATCATTTAGACTAAATAAAGCCAGGGCTCAGCCAGCCAACCTCTTCCAACGTTTTTATTTCATTCTCTTCTCTATCTATTAATAACAAACTCAACTGATGCCTGTTAATTAATTCCCCCTTCATCCAGGGCTGCTCCGGAGCTAATTTTGGTTAAATCATCAGAGGCTAATGGTAATAATAATAAAGGGATTGGGTCAGCCTGGTCAATTGAACTCCAGTTCTCCTCCCTGGAAGGACCTGCTGCTCTACAGACCCATGTGTATTTCCCAGAAACAAATTCTTCCCAGAAACCAATTGGAACTCAGGGCTACCCTGGCTCCCTTTTGAGTGTAAATCTCTGCCATTAAGAAGGGGATTTATGTGTGGGAGGGACTTCTTCACCTGCCCTCCTTTTATTTTATTTTCCTATTTTTAGTTTGCTTTGGAGTTGTCCAGCTGGGCTGAATGAGATTTAAGTAGTCCAAACTCACATGTCAGAAGACAGGGTCACTCTGGAGGTTTTATGAAATGCGATGGTGAGAGATGCGGGAAGACAGGGAGAAAAAAAATGCAGTCAGAAGTTTTAGAAGAAATACACAAAATCCTATGACAGCTCGAAGCTTTATTTTTTCTGCACAGTTTTAAAAGTCTGCGTTAAAATAATGATTTTTTTTGACTTGGAAAACTTCAGTAAACAAGATACCCTGTTTCCAGCCCAGAGAATAATATTGTTCTGATTGCTCTGTTGACTTTCTTTTTTTGCCTTCGGAAAAGGTGTTCTCATTCAGGAAGCACTTTAGCATCTCTTGGTAGAAAAGTCCAGCAGTTATCCAGTTTCTCTCTTCTTTTCTTCTTTTGGAGAAATCAAAGGAAACAGACTGTCAAGGAAAGGGGTGGAGAAAAAATTAGGCCTGATGAAAAAAAATGGAGCTGGGAGAGACTTGGGCCAAATGGTCACTGCACCAATCAGTCGGGCCGGGGAAATGGAAACAATCCTGCTCCATTTGGGGGCCCCATGGGGGCTGCTAGCTGCTGGGTCCCAGACTTAGCTGAGCAGAGACTCAGACTGAAGGTGGTATTACCTGCCTGCCGCAGGGCCATGGAGGAGGCTCGGTTCTGCTGGCTCTGGATGTTAAAAATCTTCAGGAAGTTTCTAGGTCAGGCTGTTGTTGTCTTCGTGAGGTGGGAGGGGAAAGAGAGGGCTCCTCACAGGAGAAGGTTCCCTGCTCAACTTGCTTCTTCTTCCTGTCTCTTTCAGAGATCCTGTTTTTTTTCCGTTCAGGCTAGACTCTGCTTGGGTGAGAGACCTAGAGGGACATGGAGGGAGGCAAAGACAGGAGGCCTCTCAGCTCAGAGGAGGGTGTTGGTGATGCTTTTATTTTGGAGTCTCCTAGTCCCCCCCCGCCCACAGCCACCCTATCCCAGAGTTGATGTGTGTGTGGGGGGGAGATTGGGAGAGGGAGGTGGAAGAGGTCAGGGGCTAGCTCGCAGGCGGGAGAGAGAAACTATGGCCTTTGCGGTAGTATGATTCTATACCTAGGCAGTCCCCAAAGGAGTAGAAGTGGAAATAAAAACTGGTGGGCTTTTTCCTTAAAATTAAAATAAGAAATAAGAAAAATCCATTTCAGGTTAGGAAAGTGGCCTCAGCATCTGCTTTGAAGATGTTGGGGTGGGGGAGAAGAAGAAAAAAAAAAAACCTATTGATGTCAGTTCCCTTTTCAGCTCCTAAGATGGATTCGAGCCCCAGTCCTCTTCTCCCCCTTGTGTCTCTTCTCTCACCCCGCAGGTCAGCCGCTCCCAACGGACTCGGGAGGAGGGGGGCAGAAAGGGGAGGGGGGGTCCGGCGCCTCACGTGACCCCCGCGGGTGCCAATGTCCGGTCGTGAGGGTATCAGGCTCTTGCAAGTTGCCACCCACTGCCCGGGCCTCGCCCAGCGATGCAGAAAGCCACCTACTACGACAATGCCGCGGCAGCACTCTTCGGAGGCTATTCCTCGTACCCTGGCAGCAATGGCTTCGGCTACGATGGCCCCCCCCAACCCCCCTTTCAGGCCGCCACGCACCTGGAGGGCGACTACCAGCGCTCGGCGTGCTCGCTGCAGTCCCTGGGCAACGCCGCCCCGCATGCCAAGAGCAAGGAGCTCAACGGCAGCTGCATGAGGCCCGGCCTGGCCCCCGAGCCCCTGCCCGCCCCGCCCGGCTCACCCCCGCCCAGCGCCGCACCTACTAGTACCACCAGCAACAGCAGTAATGGGGGCGGGCCCAGCAAAAGCGGCACCCCCAAGTGCGTTCCCGGCTCCAACTCCACCCTCACCAAACAGATATTCCCCTGGATGAAAGAGTCAAGGCAAACGTCCAAGCTGAAAAACAGCTCCCCTGGCACAGGTACCGGCTCTCTGCCTTCCTCGTCGTCAGCTTTTGTCAGGGCCAGGAATGTCACTGTTATTCTAGCACCCAGCCCCTAGGTGCCCGGGCGGTGGCGCTTTGCCGGTACCCCCCACCACCTGACGACCCCTGACCCCGCCAACACCCTCTCCCGCCAGCCACCCTCCACCTGAGCTGCCGAGCGCTCCAGAAGGCCAGGTGCTTGCTCGGCCTCAGCCCTTGGCAAGGCCGCAGAGCCACGAGACGCTGCCAGCAGACGCAGAGTCGTCAACGATTGATTATTATTAAGTATGATTACTGTGGGTATTAATCACAATCGCTCGGGCGGCCCGGGGTCCGGCCTCCAGGCAAAGCAGCCTCTTCGAGCCACACTTCCGCGCCCTGCCCCCGAATGTCCAGATTCCCCCAGGGGTTCTCCTTGTCTGCCCACCTGGTCCACAGGACCAGGCGGGAAGTGTGTGTGGGAGGGAGTGGGGTTAGGGTGGGGTCTTCCCAGAACCTGGAATTGGGAAATGGGGGGAGAGAGCTTGCGCGAGAAAATCCAGTTCTAAATAAATGGCCATGCGGCTCTGTCTGCGTGACATGATCAAATTTTCATAAGCTGGGGCAGCAAGAGGAGAACAGGTCTCTTAATAAATGCCACTATTATAGAGTGTCCGCTAATGCGACGGGCGTTGGGGGGGGGGGTTAGGAGGAGGCGGGGACGAGAAAGGGAGGGCGGCGGGGGCTCCGAGTCCAGGCCTGGATTTATTAAGAAACCATGCATTCAATTTCGGCGTGTTCAGTAATTATCTTTTATTTCATTTTGTCCCCTTCCCACCCCTCCCCCTCGGATCCAGCGGAAGGCTGCGGCGGCGGCGGCGGCAGTGGCGGCGGCGGGGGCGGTGGCGGCGGCGGCGGCGGGGGAGGGGACAAGAGCCCCCCGGGGTCGGCGGCGTCCAAGCGCGCGCGGACGGCGTACACGAGCGCGCAGCTGGTGGAGCTGGAGAAGGAGTTCCACTTCAACCGCTACCTGTGCCGGCCGCGCCGCGTGGAGATGGCCAACCTGCTGAACCTCAGCGAGCGGCAGATCAAGATCTGGTTCCAGAACCGGCGCATGAAGTACAAGAAGGACCAGAAGGCCAAGGGCCTGGCCTCGTCGTCCGGGGGCCCCTCCCCCGCCGGCAGCCCCCCGCAGCCCATGCAGTCCACGGCCGGCTTCATGAACGCCTTACACTCCATGACCCCCAGCTACGAGAGCCCGTCCCCACCCGCCTTCGGCAAAGCCCACCAGAATGCCTACGCGCTGCCCTCCAGCTACCAGCCCCCTCTCAAAGGCTGCGGCGCCCCGCAGAAGTACCCCCCGACCCCGGCGCCCGATTACGAGCCTCACGTCCTTCAAGCCAACGGGGGCGCCTACGGGACGCCCACCATGCAGGGCAGCCCCGTGTACGTGGGCGGGGGCGGCTACGCGGATCCGCTGCCGCCCCCTGCCGGCCCCTCCCTCTACGGCCTCAACCACCTTTCCCACCACCCCTCGGGGAACCTGGACTACAACGGGGCGCCCCCTATGGCCCCCAACCAGCACCACGGACCCTGCGATCCCCACCCTACCTACACAGACCTCTCCTCTCACCATGCGCCTCCTCCTCAGGGTAGAATCCAAGAAGCGCCCAAACTAACACACCTGTGATGGGAGAGGGAGGGCGGAGGGGCAGGCCATGGGGTGGGTGAGAGCCAGAAGGGGCGCCCGGCCGCGGAACCCTGGGAGGGCTGCCTGGAGGTCTGACAGAGGTAGGCCAGGAGGTGATAGGCACACTTCCTGGGAAGACCAGGCCTGGAGCTCCTTTCCCTCCCCCAGGCCTGAGAAGTTGCTTTTTAAGGTCCTCCTGTCCTTGTTCCATCTGCCTGCCGACCAGTTGGAGAGGAATCCACAGCAGATTGTGGAGATGACCCCCTCAACCCTAGGTCTCCAACAATACCCAGTTGGAATTCCACGCTCCCGAGTGGGGTGGAGGAAGAGGAGATAGGGAAACAGGCAGAGAAGCACATTTAAAAAACCAGACAAGATGGCTAGGCCATCACCAACCAACCAACTTACCTTCTGTCTCTGTGGGTAATTCCTCCAAATGATTTTTTTTCCTTGCAATGCTCCTTTAAAAAACAAAACAAAAAAGCGCATTTCAAAACCAAGGGCACAAAGCACGCTCCCCTCCCACTTCCATGAAGCCTCAAGTTTCTTCCCATCTATTTGAGGTTTCTTGGGCATTCCCTTCATTTCTAGCCCCATATTTTCAGCTTTAGGACATTAATATCTCTACCCCGCCCCCATCTATTACAGTTTTCAGAGGGCTCAGGGATGGTGAGAGATCCTGAAAGTCAGAGCTGTCTATATTATAAATATATATTTTTTCTTTTATGGAAAACTGGGTGGTCAGAGCAGGCAAGGTGTCAGGACTGAAGGTTTGCCCATTCTGCTGCCTCCCATCTCAGCTCCAGGACCATCCCCCTCTCTCCACAGAAAGCAATCGGCGACACGAGGTTCTACACTTTTCTTTTCTTCTGTTGCTCTCTTGACTTAACGTGAAAACAGGGTATATTTTAACAAACTGTCTGTCCCAGGCAGGGGCTGCAGCTGGGCCTGTGCGCCTTGCTCAACCCCCTGACAGGACACTTTTGTTGCACTTAGAGTTTACATTTTAATGGATATAAAAACAACTGTGAGAGATGCCTGGGCCTGCAGGAATCCAGCATCGCTCAAAAAGTGTGTGTTCTAGTGAACATTTTCATATATATTTATTGGTTATAGCCTGTTAAAATATTTTCTTTTTTGTATTATTTATCCCCCTACATTATGTATTTATATGAGGGAAAAAATGAAAAACTGTACTTTTTTAGTATTTACTTGTTATAAAGGACATTGTGTTTCCTGTCATGTAAAACCAGCTATTTTAGTTATTATTGTACTCTAGAAAAGAGCTGTAGATTTATGTTAAACTCGTACTTATGAGCAATTGTAATTAGTTCTAAAAGGCATGAACTCAGCTCCTATTGTCACTGTATAGTCCTGAATTTGTAGCATTAGAGTTAATTCCCTCTTGGAACTTTCTTTGTTCTTCCGTACTTTTTTCCTTACTTGAAAGGGTTGTCTGTCAAACAATTCTTGAATAAACTTTCTGTTACCCATTTTATCTTGTCCTGGTGGTCCAATTGAGATAGCAGAGCAAGGCCGCTGACTGCCAAATTTCCCCCAAGGAAAGAAGGATATTGAAGACCCTATTCTGGATTTTGTACCCAAGGCTCAGGCCCCTAACCAACCCCCCCCCGCCACCTTGCCATGCCTCAGGCCTGGAACGTTCTGCCAACTTCTTTAGTTAAGATTTAAGTAACAAGTCGCGGGGCTGGGGGAGGAGGACCCTTGGGTGCTCTGCTCTCTTTAGGCCTTTCCGTTTGGCTTACTTGCCTCTCAGTTTTTCTCATTGACCTTTTGTCTTCTCGCTCCTTTGGCCACAGCTTCCTGGCCACCCCTCACCCAACAACAACAACAACAACAACAACAACAACGAAATCTGGCCATTTACTGCTTCTTCCAAGCAACCTAAACTTCACAGTTCTCTTCCGGAGCTACAAAGAAGTCGTCACGTGACCCGAAGCCCAACCACCATTGGGTCTAAAATGAAAACAAAGGAAAATGATTAAAAAAAAAAAATCTGAGGCCTAGACTTCTCAGGTCAAACCTTAAAACTAAAGTGAAATTAAATCACTAAATAAAACTCGGGGCGGAGGGAGAGGAGGCGCCTTTGATTTCCCCTGCCAAGGAAAGGGGAGGGGGGGGTGGGAGAAGCTGTTGGATCCCAGCGTAAATAAAATGGTCCCCAGGCTAATGTGCAGCTCCGTTTCCACGATCCCTGGGAAAACTTCATTTCTTAGTCGTGGTTCCATAAAAGTTTTATCACATTGGAGCGAGGATAGAGAGGGTCTGTCAAAGATGAAATGTCACCGCCGCGTCGCTGGAGCCGATAAGAGCGAAGAGACAGGGCGGCTGAAATATGGAGCTAATTCGTTGAAAGAGGAGCGATGGCTGCGCTGAAGAGTTGCATAATTCTAATTGTAAGCGATGCGCCCGCATTGCTTAATTAGGAGCATATATTTGGTGGTAGTGATGGGGGGGGCAGTGTCAGTGAGAATCGTTCCAGGCCCTCAGCCTTAAAGCGAGGGCTGATTTTCATTTTTATGTTGCATCCTGGCAGTCCAAGGTTAGTAATTACAGTCTTTATGCAACAATAAATAACAATAAAAAAGCAACCTGAATTCTACACCCCCCCCCCCCAAGTAGGATTTTAACTGGACTCGGCTCATCCAAGCAGCAAGCAATTTAGCATCGGGTCAGGCTATAATTTAAAGGCATAAGAGCGTGCAAAGTTTGATTGGGATTAAATAACGCTCAAGGGTTTTTCTTTCTTTCTGTCTTTCCCTCTTCCTCTTCCCTAAATAACATTTTCTGAATGATGTAACTAGATGAAGCGCCATGTTTGGCTCTGGGGGTGGGGTGGATTGATTATCTAGCAGGAGAGAGGCAGGCCAAGAGAAGGAATTTAGCTTGAGTTTGAAAAGCAGAGCTTTGGCTTGAAGCTGGAATTGCAAACGAAAAATAAGGGCCCACTTGGCTTGGTGTCCTCTACCCTTCTTTCTGCGAGATTCCAGGCGCTGGCTAAGCAGCCAAAGTCGTGGGGGAAATATCTGTGCTGTAAGATTCACAGCACAACAGGAGGCGGCACCCGGTGTCTCTGGGAAGGAGGGCTCTCTTGGCCGCTTTTAACACCCAACTTTTCTGCTCTTCTCTAATCTGGCCGTAAAATCTGTCAGCAGGGTTAAAGAGAGCCGTATTTCCTGCAGGGACAGCCTCGGCCGGAGTTGGTGCCGAGAGAAGCGCTCGACCCTGCAGCCAGCTGGAAAGGTCGTGGAAAAAACTTCCCTGGCTTCTCAAGGGGGTGGCCGGAGGGAGAACCCTCTTTCAGGCCTCACTGCACAACTTCCAGACAACTTCTACTCCGGATTCTTCTGTGCCCCTCCCCCCCACACACACCTTCAAAGGGCAAAAACTGGCTTCTTTGGAGTGGGGTGGGACACAAGGGTCTCTGGCCAGTTTGCGCAGTTCAGTGCCGCTCTCTCTGTTCTGAGCCCTCCTAGCCGGCCACCCCCTGTCCCTGCAGCCCCCACCTACAAATCCCCTTTCTCCCTACTGGCTCTCCTCTGTCCTTCTCTGTCCTTTTTAAATACTCACCGCCACCCACGCGGATGAATACTCACCGCCACCCACGCGGCTGTTACATTGACAGAAAGTTTCTAGTTCCAGCTGCCGGCTGAGTTGCCATTTCTCTGCTAACCAGCCTTCTCCTCCTTGCCGGGCCCGCGGAGAGGAGGAGGGGGAGGGGAGGCCAGAGCCGTGGGAGTTCTCCAGACAAACTTTCCACCCAACTCAGCGTCCTTCCCTCCGTCCCCATTTCCCATCTGTTTCCCCGCTCTCCCAGAATCACCTTTCTCTTTTGCTATCACCCCCACCCCCCAGGCCTTTTAAAGGGATGTGGAATTTCGGCTGTTCCCTCTGCTTTCCCAAAGAGCCAAATTCTTTGATGCCATCGGAGGGAGCTGTCAGGGGGCTAAGATTGATCGCCTCATCTCCTCTCGGTCCCTCTGACCCACTTATTTAAAAATCTTCCCCCAGATCGACTTTTCATTTTCTGCTTTGAGATCTAGTTTCCCACCAATTGCTTGGGGCCTCGAGTTTTGTGTCCCCTCTCTTCAGTAAATTACAGCACTCCCCAAAGTTCAGAGTCTCTTGATCCCCTCAAAATAATTAATTAATTAATTAATTAATTAATCTTCCCCGGGGGCCAGAAATGGAATATCGTCTCCTTATTCATTGTTTTTACCCCCTCCATGCTCAGAGAATTCTTTCTTGCCAGGGATTTTTATTTTTATTTTTTTTAAACTAGCACACTAGCAAAAATGGGAAGGGGGATACTCTTTGTCCTGGGAGGGAAATCCTCCTGCCACACATTGACCTGAGTTTGAGAGTGCTCTTAAGTTAAATCGCACTACCTCTGTTCTTGTTCATGTCCCTGGAGATAGATGCAGATACAGACTTGAGGCTCCAATGGGAGCACATGCACCTTAGACCCTGTCCATTGTGGGGTATCAAAAAGGCGTGAGATGAAGACTCCAGGTGAGGAAGGCAGGTGGACATATGGGCAGGGGCACTGCCGCAAACACCAGGCAGAGGAGGAAACTGAGACCACACAGCTATGGCTGCCAGAGGCCCAAAAGGGCCCCTCACCATCTATCTCACTCCTCCGTGTCAGCCTGGGAGTGCCTGTCGATTTTCCAAGATTTATCTGTTGCTTTTGGGGGGTGGGATGGGGATGGTGGTGCTGGTGATTGTAAATCTCTTCTCTTCCTTATTGCACCTTAACACTGACCTTTCCCAAAGGATGGAAGCCTCTTTCTACTACCTCTTCTTCCCACATATAGATAGATCCTTACTCAGCTTTCTTTCTTTTCTTCTTTTTTCTTTTTTTTAATGGGGGAAGGGTGGGGAAGAAAATGCTGCCGGCATTGTAAAGAACGTATTAATGTATTCTACTACAAATATTTGGAAAAGAGGAAGACTTCTCCCTTAGATTCTCTTGTTTCCTAGCTTTCGGAACCTCCCATCCTCTGAAGGGGATGAGAGAAAGTTTCCTCCAGCTTTTCTGGAGAAAGGGAGGCTTTGGGGAGAGGGAGTGTAGGACTTGGGGCTCACAGTGTCCAGGTCGTGGTCCTCTAGAGTTTTTGAATCAATTAAAGCAAATAATGCTTTCTGTTTTCCACCAGGCCCAGACAAGCGATTGGCCGAGGCCAGTCCCGTGACCATGAATTCCCTGCAATTTCGCCGGAGTCCTGGGTTTAATAGAGAGAGTCCCCATACGCTTGTATTTATCAGCAATATACAATTATAAAGGCCCAAAATTTAAAAAAAAAAAAAAAGAGAGAGAGAGAGAGAGCGAGAGAAAGAGGGAAATCTACCCCTCCCAAAATCGCTCCATCACATAAACCTGGGGGGGGCAGGAGGGGGGGTCCCTTCCGATCCTCCCTCCTGACGCCCCCCCCAGCAGGCCCCCTCCCCCACCATTGAAAGCCATGAATTTTGAATTTGAGAGGGAGATTGGGTTTATAAACAGCCAGCCATCGCTCGCCGAGTGTCTGACTTCCTTCCCCGCTGTCTTGGAGACATTTCAAACTTCATCAATCAAGGAGTCGACATTAATTCCTCCTCCTCCTCCTTTCGAGCAAACCTTCCCCAGCCTCCAGCCCGGCGCCTCCACCCTTCAGAGACCCGGGAGCCAAAAGCGAGCCGAAGATGGGCCCGCTCTGCCGCCGCCGCTCCCCGCCGCCCCCTTGGTCCCCGAGTTCCCCTGGATGAAAGAGAAGAAATCCGCCAAGAAACCCAGCCAATCCGCCTCGTCTCCCCCGGCCGCCTCCTCCTCCGTTTCGGCCTCCGGGGTCGGATCGCCAGCAGGTCGGTTAGCGGGGTAGGGGTGGGGTGAGGGGCAGCTAGAAGAGAGGGGGAGAAAGAGCGGTGGGGGAGGTAGAAAGGGTGTCGAGCCTGTTGGGGATCCTTGCCCCGTCGATTCCAGGGGTGAGGGAGCGGAATATGCTGCTGGGATTCAGGCCTGGCCGCTGCCAGCATTTTTTTTTTTTTCCCACTATAGCAGATTTTTGGAACCTGGTTGGGGAAGAGCGTTTTCTCTGCTAGAAGAAAAGGATTTGATTTAGGTTTTCACCTCTATCTGTGTGGAGGAATTAAAGTGGTGTTGCTGGGTTGTTGAATCTGAGGGCAAGAAAAGATTCGGCCCCATCTCCCCCCTCCCCCAGCTCTAAAAGAGGGGGATTTGAAAGCAAGGGAGGAAAGGAGGTGAGGAACAGTCTTTCTTAATGAACCCTCTCTCTGGGTTGAGCTCGAAAGTGCCGAATTGAGGGGTCTACTCCAAGGACTCAGGAGGGAGGCTCTGAGGTTCTGGGGGCAAAAGGGAGCCGCTCCCTACCCCCTGCGTGGCCCCGTGGGCGGCTCTCTGAATGCTCTGCCCTGACCCGGGCCGGGGCTGCCGGCAAGAGGGGGACAGGAAAGAACGGAAAAGCGGTGGGAGCGAACGGCTTCGGTAGGCGGGAAGGAGGGGGGGTACTGCTGATACTGTTTTTGGCGGATGGGGTGGTCTTCACTGAAGCTGAATGAGCTTGGGCCAGGGACACGGCCCGCTCTGACGCCCAGCCCGCTTTCCCTGCAGATGGCCCAGGACTGCCGGAGGCCGCGGGCAGCGGGGCGCGCAGGCTGCGCACGGCTTACACCAACACGCAACTGCTGGAGCTGGAGAAGGAATTCCACTTTAACAAGTACCTGTGCCGGCCGCGCCGCGTCGAGATCGCGGCCTTGCTGGACCTCACCGAGAGGCAGGTCAAAGTGTGGTTCCAGAATCGACGCATGAAGCACAAGCGGCAGACGCAGCACCGAGAGCCGCCCGACGGGGAGCCAGTCTGCCCAGGCGCCCTGGAGGACACCGGCGAGCCCGCCGAAGAGCCCGTGGCCAGCCCTGGCCGCCCCTCCGCTTCGCGGGCGGCGCGGGAAGGCTGCTCTCACCCGCCCGAGGTCGCGCCGGCCCCCCCGGGCGCCCAACCTGTGACCGCTCACGGAGGGGGCGGGGAGCCGTTGCCGGAAGATGCCTTCCCGGAGCGGCAGGATTCGCCTTTCCTGCCCGACCTCAACTTCGCGGCCGACTCCTGTCTCCAGCTGTCCGGAGGCCTCTCCCCCAGCCTGCAGGGCTCGCTCGACAGCCCGGTTCCCTTTTCCGAGGAGGGGCTGGACTTCTTCACCAGCACCCTCTGTACCATCGACCTGCAGTTCCCCTAACCTGTCTCCTCGTCCCGGCCCCTTCGACCCCGTCGTCCCCTCCGCCGACTGCGGGAAAAGCCGAGGACCCCCTCCCCCAAGTCGTTTAGATTTCTTTATGTGTTTTGCTAAAATTCAGGTATTACGGAATTAGCGTTTAATCCATTTCCTTTCTTTTCTCTCTAAAATACTGGGCACTCGAGCATCTTTAAAAAAAAAATCACAGGAAAATTCCGTTTGGTAGAGTCCTTCCAGTGAAATCTCAGGAATAATTAAACTCTAGGGGGGGCTTTCTTAAAAAAGAACTAGAGGAACTTGTTTTCCTCTCTTTTTTTTTTTTTTAAGTTTTAGACCGTAGATTATTTATTAAAACTCTTTAATAATAGGAAAAGGGGAAAGTATTTATTGTACATTATTTTCATAGATTAAATAAATGTCTTTATAATACGAAAATGAGTGTTTGTTTTGGGACCCAGCCCCTCTCCCTGCAGCCCCCCTAGGCCGGCCGTCACTCCCTGGGGACCCGCGCGCGGCTTGCCCGACCCTGGGCCGCTAAGTCCGGGTGGTACAAAAGTAACCCTATTTGGCCACCGCTTCTCGGCCCGCAGCTCGGGAGGAGTCGGGGGGTTTGCTGGAAGCTCTGTCACCTCGACACCCTCTAACGGACGGACGGACGGCCTTTGGCCCTGCGCCGGCGTTCCCCGGCCTTCGCTTAGAAATAAAGGTGGGCGGGTGACGGGAGAAGGTACCGACGAGGGTGCCAGGAGAGGCCTCGGGGTCGTGGGAAGGGGCGCAGAGGTTTAGCCGAATTTGGAGGGGTCCTCGGGTTTCCCAGGTTTCTCCCTTCAGTGCCCCAAGCGGGGTCGAAAGGCTTTTTCCGGGACGCAGGAAGCCTGCGCACGGCGAGACCTGGGGACGTGGGCCGGCGCCAAGGTGTCGAGCGGGGGTCGCGGGTTTTCTCGGGAAGCAGGTTCCAAGTGGGCGCGAAAGGAGGCCGGGTGAGGCGTGCAGCGGGGCCGGGCACCAGGGCAGCCACTGCAGGGCTTCGCGGTCGGGAGAGCGGCCGAGGAGCTGCGGAGCGGCAAGCCCGGGGAGGCCCGGGCGCGTCGGGAGGCGCTTGGCCTACGGGGGCGGGAAGGAAGGGCGAGGAGAGCGGGAGGGCGCCAGGGAAGCAAGGAAGATGCTCAAAATGGCGCTGGGGCCGGGCTGCAGGGAGGGCGCGGGAAGAGCCGGTGGCCGCCATGACAGCCGCTTCGGGATGCTCGGTTCCCGCGCCCGCCGTCTCTTTTCCGGATCTTGCAGACGCCGCGGAAGAAAGGGAGCCCGGGAGCCTCCTTTTCGTTTTTGTTTTATTTAAGCAAATGCCGCCGAGGGAGGCCGAGGACGCGAGGTGGACGTGGAGGCCGCGCGGAGCGGGCAGGCCTGGGGCTGAGCGGCGGGCGTGCAGGCCCGGGTCGGCCTCGCGGGGTCTGACTTTGGGTCCTTCGTTCTGGGATCTGAAGGCCGGCCAGAGCTCTCTCCAAATGCAGGCCTACCTGTCTTACCAACAACTTCATCTGCCACCTCACCGCTGTCTGCTATCGCCCACTGCACCCGGCCCCGGCTCCTAGCAAACCCGGCAAAGCGGGAAGCCGAGGATCGATCTCCCCCATCTGCCTCCTGGTTTGTTCCGGGGAACGCGGAGATTTAAAGGGCCCTGGAAAGCCATCCATCCTCCTTAGGTTTACTTAATATTTCTCTGGCTCAGAAACAGACACCGCAGGGTTACCTCCCCAGCAGATGCTGCCATTCTCCGAAAGCAGTTTATTTCCTGGGCCTCCCAGACCTTCCCCTGGACCAGCAGGACGGACGGGTACTTGGAGTACCAGGCACCGGGAGGCCACAACTGTCAAGAAAAGCCGGGAGCCAACATAGGTCATGACATATAGGACTAGACAGGCTCTCCCGTATTTTTTTAACTGGTCCCTCAGTGTGGGAAGTGCACACATCTTATTCAGCCGGAATTTAATCCCTTAAACTGTCTTAATATAGAATTCATCTCCTGCATTAAATAATCATATGTCATGTTAAGTTGCACTTATTTCTTCATAAATAAATTAATATAGAACAATTAGATGTGTTATTATAATAATATCATGTATCTTTTAGTTTATTTTCCCTCATAAAATATATAGGTATGAAATAAATTCAATATATTAAAGTAATAATACACAGCTTATTGGCTTGTGTATTTATTTTCCCCATAAATAAGGGAATATACAATATATTAAGACCACACTATACATCTCATTGGGCTGTGTGTTTATTTCTCCATAAAATATGCCCGCAGGCAGGGTTTAACGTCTTAAAAATCACAGCACATAGCCATCTCTACACCAACAAAATGAAACAGACATTTCAGCTGGGGCTTTGATTTCTATGGACAGCCAAACCAGATAATTTGGTCTAATTAAAAATGCTCTTTCAGCTATAGCAGGTTGTTACAAAGATCAAGAATACCAGAAGGATCTTGCTAATTGCCCACCTTCCAGCTTTCTTTGGTCAAAAGGAGAGCACCCTTCATCAATGCCAAAAATACAGGATCTGCTCTGCTGGAGAGAATTCAAATCCTGGGATCATGGCTTGGTCTGCAACACTCTGGGGCCTCTGAGGCTTCAGTTCTCTGAGAGCCTTGCCGCTCCATGGACCAGCAGCATCAGCACCACCTGGGAGCTAGTTAGAAATGCAGAGTCTTAGGCCCCACTTCAGGTCTACTGGATCAAAACCTCAATTTAGCAGATCCCCAAGTAATTTATATGCACATTAAAGTTTGAGCAGCACTACTAGATCATAGTGCCACCTTGCTTCCTGCCTTCCTCCCATGCTTAAGAATTTTTGACCTGCTTAACCTGGCTGCTCCCTCCCCAACTCAAACTAGTGGCCCAAAGGACAGGGAATCTCAGCTCCTGCCTGAGGCTGCATCAGTCCTGATTCCTCCCTGCCAAAGTGAGTGGAGGGCCAGGAGGGTCCAGCCAAAGGCTCATTCTACGTGTTCAGATCTAGGCACTTTGTGTATCCTGAGGGTGGGAAGCAATGAATCTAGGGAATCAGGAGCATTTCCAGCATTTCTCTTGGTTGATTATTAGAGAGGAGTTGGAACTCTTCAACGCGCAACGCAGGAACCGTTCTGTCTCTCCTTTTCCATATTCACAAAACTCACCATCTCTGATGCCACCACTGCAGAACAAAGAGACAATGCATTTCCAGAAGGAAAGGACTCCTGTTTTCAAGCTCCCCACCGAATTTCACAATCAAAGGAATGCCTGGCAATTTGGGTTTCATAAAGGACTGGTACTGGGGATGCCTGTGTTCCAAATCAGCTCCTTTCCTTGTTTCATCTCTGGGGCCATCCTCTTTAGCCTGAGTTTTCCCAGCTGGCTTAGGAGAAGGAAGGAGAAGAGGAAGGGGTTCCCAGATAAGGCAGCACACCCACCCCACCCCGCCCCGCCCCACATGATGGTAAGCTGATAGTGATACCAGGCAGCTGCACACACTTACCCCATTCTGATTGGGGCGGGGCTCCTCTTGGGTCAGGACCAAGTGTGAGTGGTCTCTAGCCCAGACTGGTTATAAACTGGCTGTGGTTGCAGTGGGAAGGTTTCAGTGCCGTCCTGAAAGCTGCTGGTCAGTCCGCCTTGCTCTTGGTGCGTCATCTTTTAAGAAGAATGGCTCGTTAATATTATGGTGAAAGCAAAGGACCATTAGATTGAGGAATTATTTGCCATCATGATAACCCTGAGTCATTAAAAAAAAAAAATTTAACTCATGACGGGGCAAGTCCCTTCCCCTTTCCAGACCTCAGTTTCTCCATCTATAAAACAGATGGAAGGACTAATGTCTCTAATATCTTCTGCATCAATATATGCCCAAAGTATATTTGTTAGTCTTCACAAATAATGTACTAAATATTTATTGTGGCTGGTGTCATGCGCTTTTAAATGGAGGTGGTGGCTTTTGATGTTTGACAACAACCCACCTCCGAAGTATCTGGTAGAGCCATTTTAACACATTTTAATTTGTATCTTTATACCAACAATTATGCCCCCAATCATTATTTAAACTAGTAGGGAAAGAAATCTTTTTCAACAAATATGTCATTGAGTGTAGTGTTATGTGCCAGGTGTTCAGTAGATATGAGTATTCAGAAGTGTCCTAACCAAGTTTTCCTCTGACTTCCATCTTTTGTCACCTTCCCTAACATTTGGTTATGTTTCCTCTTGTGTCAAAAACAGTAGGATGGGGGACCCGGGTGGCTCAGTCAGTTGGGCGTCTGCCTTCGGCTCAGGTCATGATCCTGGAGTCCAGGGATCCAGCCCCGCTTCGGGCTCTCAGCTCAGCGGGAAGCCTGCTTCTCCCTCTCTCTCTGCCCACTGCTCTGCCTCTGCCTACTTGTGCTCGCTCCGTCTCTGTCAAATAAATAAAGAAAATCTTTAAAAAAAAAAAACAAAAAAACAGTAGGACATTTTATACAAAAAGAACCACCAAGCTGCTTTGACGCAGTGTACTAGACCTTAAAAGTCCCTTTAAGTCAGGTTTTGTCTGGTTCCTCCGGCATCAGAGCGTAGGTACAAATTCTGGGTCCCCCTAAACAGCCCCGATGAAGGAGCCCTGAGTCGGGCTCCTCACTGGTAGTAGAACCCCTGCCCACCTTTCTCCTAAGTTTCTGACAAGCATTCCGTGACCCTCCTGTACATATTCTTGAAAGTGCTCTCATCAAATACATGTCCTCAGTTTGCAGAGAGTGGCCTCTAGCCCCCATGTCATCCCCTCCACCTGCTGTGGCTGGTGTGGCCCAAATCCTCCCTTGACCTCTCCAGCTCAGCTCTGCCCTCCTGTCTCCACACATCCCCCTCGTCACACTCAGCTGGGAAGCAGATATTTAGTGTCTGAAGGAGATCTAACAAACTGCTTCCTCCTGAGAAGAGAGTCACCAGTAAAAGAGCCCTCCTAAAACCTTCTCTAACTCCCAAACACCACAGAAAAATCGCAGTCTGGACAGTCACCTAGATAAAAAGTCATTTTGATCATTGTTCTATAAAGTTTCCAAAGTGGGTATTTTGGCCACAACTAACACAACTAACAATTGGAGAAAGCCAATTGAGTAGAAAATTATTTCAACTCTTCATGCCACTCTAACCTTTCCTTTTAGAAAGATTCCAACTCTCTGACTTACCTTTCAGTCCAGATGAAATCTATCTAGAACACAGAAGTCAGGTTCACCCAGAAAGGGCAGTTTCTAAGCTAAGTTCCTCAAGGACTGAGAGGCAACATCCTCCCTAGAAAACTTTTTCCAAATATGTGGAAGATCAGGAAGTTCTTGCTAATATCTAACCTCACCCTTCTGCTACAATTTTAATCATTTGGGTTCTTTATAGATTATGTGATATTAGGCTTTAGTTCCCAAAGAAC